GCTTTATAGGCGGCTATAAAAGGCTTCGCTATATCGAGCTAGCTATTATATAGCCTATTTATACATTATTCGCTGTCGCCCCTTATACTTCTTAGGAGAGTTCTGCTTATATTCCTATAACCTATTTAGAGGCCCTATCGTCTATATACAGCGATAATAGCGGACTAATATAGTACGATTCGCTATAGTCATTTTAGGTAAGAAGCTCTATAAAGCGAGGGCTAGTAGCTAGAATTTCTCTCTATCGGTTATACTATAGGAGTCTAGAGGGAAATACCTAGCTTTTTATATAAGAGACTTCGCCGCCGAAATATATCGAGAACTAAGGCGAGACCGCTAATTTCGAATTAGTATAAGAAGAAAAAAATACCTTATTTAAGCCACTTATATACGATATAGGGCTTCCCGTTAAGAGCCGTCTTATAAGTATTATTACTATCGGTAACAGCGAGCTACTTACTAGGAGTTAGAGACCTATTACTTTTATTATTTCCCTACGCAATCTAGTTCAGAGCGGCCTAAAGATTACTGAAATCACCCCGACTAGGGTAGAAATTGGGTATAAAATATATATCGCTATCGGCAGCTGCTCTGATCGCTACAATATCGATACTATTACCGGCGAACGAAGACACAAATACTTTCCTATTAACCTTAAGCTAGGTAGGCAGATTGGTATACTACGCGATCTTCACGCCGACTATATTACCCTAACTAGTCTACTACTAGTTAAAGTTAAAAGAGATAAACACTTTTATACTATTATTAGCGGTAGATTAATACGTAAACCCTAGTTACTCGTCTATATAAGAATCAGTACCGATGTTTAAGGCGAAAGCGTCGATACCTATATATTAGGCGCGCTTTATATCGTCGTTATAGTCGCTAGCACTCTAGCGGTTACTAATAATACCAACCTAATAAGAGTTAGTACTAGATTTACGATTTAATAGGGGATACCGGAGTGCTATACTATAAAGTGGTAGAAAATAAGCTTGTTTCTATAATTGTTATTAGAAGTAGCCGTAGTAGTATATTCAGTTAGGAGCGAGAAAGCTATAATAAAGGGAATATGGCTAAATAGGGCTATAATAGGTCCTAGCAATATGAAGTTTAGAAAGGATAAGTGGGTTAGTATACGATTATAACGAAAGCTCGCAGTAAAAAGAATAAAGAAAAGACTAAGAAGAGAGAATATATAGTAAGATTACAATCTTAACGTACGTATTTAGTTAAAAAGCGTATTACTTATATTCTCGCTTACTCCTTATATACATTTCTAGAAAATAGATGATAAACATTCCTTATAACCGTAATAAGGAATTTACTATAGAGGAGTACCCTAGAAGTTAAATGGCCTATACAAACTGTATTATTATAAGGATAAGATCCAAAGCAATATAGAGAGTAACCGAGTTCTTATTTACTTATAAACTAGCTTAGGTAGCGTTATAGGAGTACTAAAATATATCTAAATAACTACTATACCGGTAGTTTAGTTACTTAAACATCTATAACTATTTTATAATAGATCTTCTAGATATAATAAACGCGCAACCAGGCTTATAGGTTATAATCATCTTCTATATATACCCGATTTAATAGCAGAAAAATAATAGAAAAAAAAAAGATATTTTACTCAATGTTTCTGTATTACGTAGCTTATAGAATAAACCCGTTCAACTACTATAAGTTCCTACCCCTCTGATAGGTCTATTCGAACTCTACTTCTTTATTAACTATACAATCTATAAACAGACTTATACCGATAATCGCTATAGTACTAGTTACCGCCGTAGTAACGGCGCTAAGGCCAGTTCCTAATACCTAATCTATCGTAAACGTAGCCGATTTAATAATAATTTCGAGTACTTTAGCTAGCGAGCTTTAGATACTCTCTACTCCGCTTCAACTTATCGCCTAGAGGAAGCCCAACTATACTAGAGATTTCAATATCGCAATTTACCGACTCGGTTCTAGTACGGAATATCTCTAACGCGCTAATTTCCCGCAGTCTCTAATACTATATATTATAATACGCCCCTATTTATATATTACCGGTTGTAGGAAACCTAGGGCTTCCTACAAATAAAAAGATAACTACGAAAGATAGTACATATTATTTAGCAAACGCGATAGTTATCTATATTTTGTTCTATTAAGATTATTATCCAAAAATCTATAAATCTAAATAGCCCCTTCATCTTAGTTCTGTTACCAGCCAGTTCTTAAACAAAAGAGTGCATTTCAACGAGAATACTAAGTACAGGGAGTAAAAGGAAAGAAGAAGAAAGGAAACCTGCCTGGCAGGACCTTTGTGGGTCCTGGTCCTGTCTCCTCATACAAACCATGCAAACATCTACAAGTCGGAGACATCTGGCAGAAACCCCCGCAGGCGGCCAGGACTGGCAGAAAGGATAGTGCAGTTCAGTCTCAATCGTCACAAGTTCGATAAAACCACAGAAAGGTCAGAACAGACCCTATTATAATAATAGGCTATCTAAGAGCCGGAGCACTTATATTCCCCAGTTTCCTACAATATTCTATATAAAGAATTGTAGATTAAACGATACTATAGGCAGAGAGGGATAGATATAAGATAGAGGAATTACACTCCGTATACCAGTATCTACTACAGTCTCTATTTATAGTCGTAAAGACAATTAAAATCGGGTTTCCCTAGTACTTCCTATATAGCTATTCCGTAAGATAATATTACGTATCTAACCATATACTCTACGTAGGTTCCCCAATATCGATTCAACCCGCGGAAGAATAAACGGATACTCTTCTACAACCTCTTCGTTTCCCGTACTAAGCTTACTAAGCCGGATTTCTATCTAGTATACCCGTTTAAAAAGAAAGAATGCTAACACGTAGAGGAAAATATTATCGGCACAGATATCTAGGGACAATAGATCCGGCCCCGTCTAACGAAAGGCGTACTCGCTATTATAGTTAGGGTAGAAAATATACTCGATAGTATAAGGCCTCTCGGCCCTATTCTTTACATATTATGATATACTAATAGATTGGATTGAACTAAGAGTGCTACAATTAGCTGCGAGATAAGGTAGTAGTATCGGTATATTAGGTGATTCTCTCTAGATTGACTTAAGGTCTAGATCCAAATCGAAGTCTAAAGGGTTTTATCAACGCCAATACTAGTTATCGAAGATAATCCAATCAACTAAGCCGATCAATTTATCCCATTCTTTCTGTGCAGCATATACAGATTATATAACAAAAGGCGGTTTACGAAGAAAAGGTAGGCTTAAAGAGTAAGAGAATCTCTATAATTTCATTAGAGATTTATATATATAGGCCAGAATGATAGGTAAGCAAGTCAAAAGTTTAGCATAGAGCTTTAGTACTAAAGGGGTAGTAAGGCTTTTATAAATATAGAAAAAAAACTAAACAAAAACCAGATATTTAGCTATATTTAACAAAAGTCCCTGTATGCCAGTGATTGGTTATTCTTAATTTACGTAGACGCAGACGGTGATCGATTTGTGTTTTTGCGTTAAAAGTATATTTATTGGTAGTAGGGTATTATCTATAGAACGCCCTACCCATACTCTACCCTGTTGAACTATCCTTTCCGACCCGTTTATTACCTACCTTTTCTATTCAACGTAAGAACCATAAGACCTATTTACTACTCTATTACCTACCAGTACAATACCAGCTATAGCTAGGTTAAGCGTACCGATCTCATTTCGCTTAAGCGAAAACTCACTATAACTCATTTATATAACAATAGCGTCTATCACTATTCTGCAATGTTCCGAGAATACCCTAATATATAGAGTCAAAGGCCTAACGACGATCCTATAGCAGCAGCTCCTAGTTATTACAGCATTCTTAGAGTTTTTCATTCTCCCCCACCAGCCATTCGTTAGAGCCTTATAGGAAGCGACGTTCCTCTTCTAAGCGTATTTTACCAGCGGACTTAATCATATAATACTCCTACAGACACAAATAGAGGTCTAGGAGGTCAATAGCGGAAGATGCTAAAGCGGGTTTCTTTTATAGGATTTAGGTCAAATTACTAGTTAGGGAATAGGCGGTACCTATCGAGGTTGTCTGTTTTTTAGTTAGATCCGATCAAATACAGACTCAGTGAAATCTAACCTTTATCTCGCCCGGTAGCATTTGTTTCGAAGAGTTTATCACTTGTTTAGTGCTGCCTAGCGTCCTAACTAGCTTCTTATATAAATCTAGTGATTCTCGCTTTCTTTTATTAGCCCGTCCTATAGGAGAGTAGGAAGCAGGAGTATCTATTAGGTTAGAGGGATTTAAAGCTCCTCTAGATTCAGATAGAAGAGGATAGAGAGTTTAAGATAGTCAATCTAAGTCGAGGAAATAGTTTTTTTATATATTATATACCAATCTACCGCATCACGCTAAATTAGTTTTTTTTTAGGGAGAGCCATTAGCTATCGCAAAAAAAGCTGTCTTTAACCATACGACTAGAATCACAATAAACAAACCCGTATTAAACTATTCTAATTTTACACTAGACTCAAGTGAAGGATATATTACTAAGGGCAAAGATGTTTAAACTGCCGATTATACCTAGCCGTGCTCATCTAACTAAGGGCCGGCAAGAAACTACGGGCGCGCGTAGGTACCGGTAGACATTTCGTTGGACCGGCTCAATTGTACGGGTTAGAGACAAAGCCGTGAAGAATGTATAAGTAAATAGAAAAAAAGGTCGACCTGGTAACTGCGAAATTACCAATCAAAAATCATCTCTGTTGGATTTGCTTGGGAAATTGTCTAGATGCACCTAATATGTTTATGCGTGGTTTGGCTGACGGCAGGCTAGACAATCACGGTCCGACTTCAAAGATATGAATTCTAGATATCAAAGCTAGTAAGAGATAATAATGATATTTGGCTGAGCTATTTACCCAAGTTCGGTACTTGAAATATTTACGTCGCGAGGCAGTCTACCGCGAAGAACAGTGAAAAGACCCAAGAACGGACAAACAGGCCTACAGCTCATACGGTGACTCCATCAATCCGCCTCCTGGACATACAGACAGAAACCGAGCTCCGTCTACCGAAACACCATCCTAAATCGAAGGATCAGCCATATCTACCGGACGGAAAGGTAGCCGCGTCGTATCGTCGCACTTAAGGCCGGCGAGTCCCTTACCGTTACTATCCTATATAGGATAGGCGCGACGTATCAAAAACTACTACCCCCTATACCGATCACCGTAGGAGAAGTCGCCGAACGCAAGGACCTATAGAGCCGGCAGTCTACCGGGGCCAAATACCCATTCGGCAAATAACATAAAATCCTCGGCCTCTGCTATTGCTACGGACGACTCGAGCACTACCTCCTAAAAATCCATACACTCGAGGGGCGACCTATCGTAGTACGCGTTAAGAATACGATCGTAGTCATTATTATCACTAGAGATATCCTCGTCCACAAGACCCCCGCGCGAACGAGGGTCCTATAAATACGGTTTGCGTATCTCGTAGAGGAAGGTGATAATCTCTTATTAGATATCTCGATAGATTCGCTCGGGTCCGCTGAACTATAAATATAAAAGCCGAAGCTAGGAATGCTTTACTATAGGTCGAAGGTACCGCCGCTATCTTAATTAGTATATACTAGACTGCGCCAAAACCCGAGAATGGGTAAGAGAAGTCGACCCGCAACCCGAACCCGCAAACCCGATGGGTAGACTCGACCAACCCGCAACCCGCCCCGCAACCCGCGCGGGTAACCCGCGCGGGTTCCCGCAAAAACCCGCGGCTGCATAATTTTCCCAATTAAGCCATGGCGAAGTGTATAAAAATGCTGATTTATACTAATAAAATACAGTAATCTACGGCGGTTTTGTTTATACGTCTAAGGCACCCTTCGACTACTGCTATTTCTGACCGCGGTCAGAAATTATCTATGCATTGAAAACTCCCTTCAGACTACTGCTATCTCTAACCGCGGTCAGAAATTATCTATACATTGAAAACTCCCTTCAGACTACTACTATCTCTGACCGCGGTCAGAAATAGTATAGGCAAAGTGGCTTTTCACGCATAAGTAATTTCTGACAGCCGTTAGAAATAGTAGTGGTATATTGGAATTAGAGCGGGCTGTAGGAGCTTTTACCCCCTTGAGGTGAAAAGGAAATACAACAAGATACAGGTAAGAAATGCATAATTTATGTAGATACGACTCTTCCTATGTTTGCACTGTTTAGTAACCCGCATGGGTAACCCGCAAACCCGCGCGGGTTACCCAAACAAACCCGAAACCCATTGCGGGTTATGAAAGTCGACCCGAAACCCGACCCATTTGCGGGTTGGGTTTTTTCGGGTTTGCGGGTTTGCGGGTTTTGGCGCAGTCTAGTATATACACGTTCGCTAGGCTAACAAAGACTTATAGCGGCAGATAGTCTTACACACAGTACTAAAGTAGTTACCTAGCCTAGGTCCACAATAGTTGACAAATTTGCAATCCACACGGGCGATACATCCCGATCGTCCTCAAACAAGCCATCCTCGCCGATAGGGGCGAGTTGGCGCTTATAGTAGATAAGGCTTTTCAACGTAGTTTGGTAGTATTTTATAGCGTCCTGGATACGGGACTCCGACGCCGGAAAATTGGACAACCGCAGATATAGATACTACAGCCCACGAAACGAACGTAGGAACCGTATAACCGTAGATAGGCTACGCCCGTCGCCCGGTTCGTACAGTAGGAGATCCAAAGAAGTTTCAAAATACTCTAGTTACAGTAGCTTTTATGACCGCGAGAGCAACTATAAGAGACGCAGCTAATTAGGGCAGTCCCGGAGAGTAAGCGCTCGTAGGGAACAAAATATCAAACTATTCTCTAATAAGAGATTTAGGGGAAGGATCACCCTTAACAGTACTAGGAAGGATAAGGTCGGAACAGCTGTCGGCTTCTCGACTCCTATATCCCCGACCCCGAGCTCCGGCCCTTATAGTCTAAGACTCTCCCAGTACAGAGTACGGGCGGAAGCGGAATAAACAAAGCCGATAGATAGGTAATCGAGGTGGCTCCAATTAGACCTGGCATTACACCGCCCACAGGTGCAGTACCTCCGCACCTGCACCTGCACCTCAGGAGGTTCAGGTGCGGACCTTCGCACCTGACCCGCACCTGAGGGTCGACAGGTTCGGTGCAGGGTTACCCTCATCAACCCGCATATGCATAAATTTCTGACACCTTACCCCTTTTGGCTGGATAAAATGGATGATTCATCTCTGTTTTTTACACCTGTTCCGTCAGCCTGAAGCCATATCAGTGAATACTCTATCAACATAAGGATTTATGAACAAATACTTATGTAAAAGTAAACAGTAGGTATTGTTACCTATAAACTCTAAATAAATACAAAGAAATTCGACGTTGGAAGTGGTCAATAAGGGTTATTGACAAAACAGCATGTAAAGTTGCAGATATATATATCGAGTATGCTGTTTACCTTATGTATCTTCAAAGGCATAACTACAGTTTTGTGTAAAGAACTTCAAGATGTTGTCAAAATCACCTTATTTTGATATCATTGTAACCGTCAAATCTTCTTCTATCATGTTGTCTTAGAGAATTAAGAATATCTAACACAGATACATCATGAATTGAGTTCAAACTTCCCAGTTGTTAGACTTAGCTGTTCTGATTATAATATTTTCTCAACCTGAGGGTTACTTTGAGGTGCAGTGAGGTTTATTCAGGTTTACCCCTGAGGTGTAGCGAGGTGTACCGAGGTGCGATGAGGTTTAATTAGGTTTACCCCTCAGGTGCGGTGAGGTGCACTGAGGTGCGGTAGGGTTACTATACAAATTACCCACTGAACTAGCCAATAGGATCTACTTATAGATACTCAAGATGATAGATCAATTCTAGCATCTTGAACAGGGTCAAACAGAGGCCCCAAGAAGATCATGTATCTTTTCATGTAAAGCAATCAGTACGTTTTTTATCTTCTTCTTCTCTAGTATCTAGCTAACTGAACCTACTATGTCTCAGCTCTCAGACATCTACCCATCGTCTCACTTCGATAGTCAAGACGGGGTGCCATATGACGCGTTACACTTCCTCCTCCCCGAAGACTCCCTCTCCCAACGCGAAAGCCAGAGCCAGAGCCGGAGCCAATACCAATCCGAAAGCCAGTTTGGATCAGTTCCAGACCTTCTTAGCCCTCAGTCACACATTTCACCACTCGCTCCAGACACCCTTGCGCGAATTAAGCCTGACCGTATCAACGAGTTCATTATCTGTACACCAGAAATGACAAAGGAGTTCGTGGATTGGTGGCTTAAGACTGGCTATGGTAGGTCGAAGCAAAATCTCAATTGGGATATAAGTCCTACCAAACGTCGTGCAGATTGCTGGAAAGGGTTCCAACAAGTTGCAAACACCAAAGATGGAAAGCCAGGCGTTATGTGCAAACGTTGTCGCACAGTTCTCGCGCATCCAGCTACGAATCATACAGGGACATCAACAATGCAGAAGCACCTTGATGGTCCAAGATGTAGACAACGAGTACCGAAGCAGGCACTCCAGGGAACTAGTAGTGTCCACCAGCTACTTAGTGACGCAGTATGTTTACCTATATTTCTTGTTGAATATTAAGACGAATCCTTAATTAACTATATTTCAGGCTGAGAGAAGACCAGTACCTACCTTTACACAGCAAATATGGGAGCAGAAGCTACTTAATCTGATCACTGTATCACATTTACCCTTCCTCTTTGTCGAGCATCAAGAATTCCACGACCTTATCTCTTACGCCCAACTAGCACCTACACTACCAAGCATCCCATCAAGAAAGGTTATTCGTGAGCGTCTCCGAGAGTTCGTCAAAGAGTCTCAACAAAAGACTCTACAACAGCTCCCACCCAGTGCAAAGATGTCGATTGCCCTTGACTGTTGGACTTCGCCATTTAAACATGCCTTCATGGCTATCACAGGATACTTTTTAGACCAGGAATGGGAGTATCGTGAGGTACTCCTTGGCTTTGAGCCAATTTCTGGTACTCATTCTGGCGTTAACCTTGGTGAAGTTGTTATTCGAATTCTACAACAGCACCAGATCATTCACCGTATACTAGCGGTGACAACTGATAATGCGTCTAATAATAAGACACTTATCACAGCGGTGAATGAGTCAATCAAGGATCTACAGTCAGACCCGGAGATAGATTCGACAATTGTTCAAGTGCCTTGTCTTGCCCATGTCATTCAACTGAGTCTACTTGATTTACTTGGTAAGATCAAGGCTTCGCCGAGGAATGATAATGCTGAGTCAGAATTACCTGACGATCGGTTACGTCAACTCCGCTCGCGCCAACAGAAGCATGAGATCGCTGATACATTAAACAAGGTATGCTTCTATTTATGAACTGTGAATAATACTAACTATTACTTATAGGTCCGAGGTCTTGCAGTTTTTATCAACGGGAGCCCTCAACGCAAAGAAAACTTCTTAAACCTCCAGTCCAATACTCAGTCACAGCTCCTCCCAATCCAGGATGTTCGTACACGATGGAACTCGACGTTCCTAATGCTCCGGCGGGCAAGAAGACTTTATACTACGTACAATTCGTACTGTGCGGACTTCAATCAACCCTATTTCGCATTAAATTCAGAGGGGTGGCGACAGATTGACTATCTACTTTGTATCCTCCAGCCTTTTTTTACATTCACCACATTGGTATGTCGTACCAAAGACTCGAGTATCCACCTTGTCTTCAGGATCTACAACAAGCTCTTTGATCATCTTGAAAGGTCAATATCTCAACTTCAGCGGAAGAAGGTTCACTGGAAACAAATGATGCTCTCTTCCCTTGAAGCTGCAAAAGAGAAATTGATCAAATACTATGGTATGACTGATAGTATTGAGGGTGATCTCTACGCAATTGGGACAATCCTAGCACCGTCGAACAAAATGCAATTCTTTTCAACAAGTGATTGGGACCCAGATCCAGAGACTGGAAAGGACTACAGAAAGGAATACCGTGAGAGTCTCCAGTCACTTTTAGAGAGGTATCGCCAACATGTACCATCAGATATGGTTCAGTCTGATAGCCATTTAATGACAACCGAGTCAGAGCTTGAGAGGGCATGTGGGCGTGATCTTTCAAAGGGATCAACTGGTCCGCAATATGACGAGCTCACTAAATATCTCCAGAGTGGTAAGTTAGCACTAAGTCTATATGATCATAAAACTAATATTCTTAGATACTATCGATGGTTCAGCTAGACTCTTCTGGAAGAATCATCAAAGAGAGTTCCCTATTCTTGCCCGCATTGCCCGTGATATCATGTCAATTCCAGCGACTGGTGCTGGAGTTGAACGTCTTTTTAACTCTGCCCGGGATATATGCCACTACCGCCGGGGTTCATTAAACCCAGAGACTATTCGCGATATCATGTTGTATATGTGTACAACAAGATTTGACTTGAAGGAGGAGCAGCGGCTAATTCTGCAAGAGTATCTTATGGATCATGAAATGGCAGCTTCAGCTGAAGCACTTGACATCCAGACACACTCCTTCGACGCTATCAGTGATGATGAGGAAGATGTTGAGGTACATCATGATATACCACCACTCTTAGCAGTTGCTGCCGGGAAGCGCCCTATGGTCTTTTCTGGTGATGAGGAGGAATCTGAAGGCGATGAACTTCCGGAGATAGATAAGGGCAGGGTCTCCGTGTCGCCTGACCTACCTGATACACAGCATCGTGTATCAGGTAGGATGCGGAAGAAATCGAGACTACTGGATGGGTATATAACTTAATAGTTTAACTCTTGAGAACATACTGTATAATAGATATTATCACTGCAAATGTGAGAATTGAAGCCCTATTCAAACATGAAACTATGACCTATGATATGCACTCAATCCTCTTGTAAGGCTATACAGTAATAAATCTTTAGCTTACAATTACAAAAGAATACAGCCCAATTCTACATAATTTATGCAATTACCCCCAAGTCACGTTTCTAGCATATTAGTCATAGTTTTCGCACCTCAGGGGCACCTCAGGGTTACCCTCATGAGGTGCGGTGCTCAACCTACCGCACCTGAGGGTCGGAATCTTTGAACCTACACCGCCCAAATGGAGGTGCAGGTGCAGGGTCGGTAGGGTTACCCGAGGTGCAGTGCCAGGTCTAGCTCCAATTGTAACGGATACACTATCGCAGCAAATCAACCTCGGTCTGATACTGGATGCCTTCCCACTCGAAGGCCGTCAGACTCGATAGTTCGGACAGCCCTTCCAGACGGTGCCATATCTAAGGACAGGTACCGTCGGTGACGAGTAAGAGACGGGCGAGGCGCTATTGATATCGGCTGAGATAGTCTCCCTGATCGAGAACTCCCATCGGGATACATATTCCAAGCCGCTATCTATTGCTAGTCAGTCACAGATCCGGAGAATAGACACCAGCGCATACGGACTCGAAAGTGCTCAGGCTATTCGGCTTCAAGTGGGTGAATATCAACTGCAATTGATCCTTCACGTCGTCCAAAATCTGCTGATATACCGTCGCCTCGTCCGAAGCTCCTAATATAGTTAGAGACTCCGGCAGCCCCGCCGCGCGAAAGATGTTGTAATATGCACATCGATTAAACCGGACGAGATGGAATAGAGCCTGGATTTACAGGTTCCTCACGTGCTGAAGATAGCCCACGGACCGGGATTGACCGAGGTGGAGAAAGAAGGAGTCGATATCCAAAACGTTCAGCGCCCACTCACTTGCTGCGTGGAATGCAATGGTACGGTAGATGTGAGGAACCAAAACTGAATATAATCTCGACGAGACTCGGCTGAGAGCGCGCAGGTGGGCGGGTGGCAGCTGGCAGGCGGTCAGAGGACGCGAATCAAACAAACCAAACACGCCAGGACTTACCCAGTCCGCGATCAGCATCAGAATCTCACACGGCAACATCTCCAGCATTGTACTGGGAGAGGTGACATCTGTTCACTGCATCAAGACGCAGTGACCACAGTTCACCGGTATTGTAGTATGTGGAATAAGACGATAAATTGGCACAAATGCTTTTTGTTTAGAGAATGTAGCTACTGTTCGTACTCCTGTTTACCTTAAACATGTGGATTGCAATCACAGTGGGCCTCATGTTGTAATCATATATTGTCGCGATCAATGAATGAAAAATGTGTTTCTTCTTTATTTGACTGCCCGTCGAACAATATTTTCCACAACCTGAGAATCACATCTCTCTAATGTCATAGACCGAAACAGCTTTGAATTATCCGCAGTACACCCCCTCAAATGGAAAATCATCAATGCCGTCAAATAACTGCCTCATCTCACTAGCATCTCCCATCATCATCCAGAGATCCCAAAGACACCGTGTCCAACATCTCATCCACCCCGGAAAGGTGTCATACTGATCTGTTTCCGGGAATGCTTCAAGAACCTTTACACATCGTAGCTCATCATCGGAATGGTATGGGCTCTCATTTTCAAGGGCCTCTGCTGATGTACCTTTCAGCGTTTGCAGAGATTCTTCATCAATAATCATGCACATTCGCCATTTGGTCCAGCGGTCACGCATGCCTTGAGATTCCACCCACGCTTCAAAATGAGCGCGAATTGCCTCGAGAGACGCCCCATTGAATTCCGCGGGATCTTGCACAATAGTCGACCGGTATTTGGCGCAAATTTCGTTGGGTTTATTTGTAGGATCTTCTTTGTGGTCTCGGAGGAATGATCTCTTAATACAGGCTTCAATGTACCTGATAGCGACTGGGAATAGAGTTTCCGATTCAGCAGAGTAGGTAGTGCGATAGATGACATATCCCCAGTCTGGGTAAGTGCCAAGGCTATTTTGGAGCTCGTCCATGTTGAACTGATGTTCGCGTGAAATTTGAGGGGAGTGGAGAAGAGAGGAGGGAAAGTCTGAGTCTCCAAACACGTGCTGCCAAGCCAAGATTTGAAACCCCAACCGAGTTTACCAAGACAATCTTTAAGCTTGCCCTAGTGTACGGAGTGCGGAGTGCGCAGTACCTCGCCAATTGTTTGGGGCTTTCTGTTGATTAGCTTTGAGTTTTCTTAATGTTGTAGCGAAGTCTTCCCTTTTCTAAGGTTGAGAAACAAAAGCCAACCAGCATGCTGATATCTTCGGAAGCTTCTATTTGTTGGTTCAACTCTTTCGGTGTTTTCTGGATCTTGTTTATCCAAGAATTTACCTAGGTAATCTATTCTGTCCATTAAAGGGACCGTTAGACCCTGACTGGAGATGCTGAGATCTACTAGTGACCTTGGGGGCCTAGGGGGCACCAGAGTCGTTTGCGGGCGAATCGACTTGGCAAGGTCATAGTTATGAAAAGGAAGTGTTCGATCTGATGAGCGATAATGAGGAGGATGAAGAGGACTACCCTGATACAACATTTGAGCGGAATCAGCTAACCGACGAGAGTGTCCTTGGCAAGAGACCAAGAATCGAACCAACAGCAACAGCCATACCTAGTACCCTGCTTATTGAACAAGACAGGATACCTCTTTCAGAGAAAAGCTGTGCCCACAGGCGTATATCTGGGCGGGTTCCGAAGCGTATACGAAGAGAGGAAGATTTATATGAATATCAAAAGTTATAGAAAAGACAGAATTTTAGTTAAATGTTATTATATTGCGTTGAATTCTGCCTAATCTGTTTGACTTCTATTTCTTCTTTCTGTGTAGTGGCGTAAGACGAATACTTAGAACTACGAACCAAAACTGCATAAGATACGCAGGTCACGGAGCTTCCCTAGTTGCAGTGTTTGAAGAACCTGCAGAGTCGGTTCCAAGAGCCCCTTTTACCACCAAAACAATGCCGATTTTCTCCGAACAAGAAGAGATCCTTCTTTGGGATGCCCTCAAAGCCTATAAATTAGGCCAATTTAATAGTATTCAGGCCGCAGCCTCTCATTTTGGCGTGTCAAAGTGAAAGCTCCGGAGCCGGCAGCAGGGCAGGTCAAATGGAAAAGGCCGTACAGCCACCAATAAAGCACTAAGTCAGTCGCAAGAGAGATTCCTGATTCGGTGAATTGAGCTACTCAATTCAGTATATACGCCACCAACTGCTTTAGATATGGAGGGTGCTACAAATGGGTGAAAGATGAGAGGTTGAATTGCATGTCCCACTGCTCAAATAAATTCAGTTCATTTTTCTTCTAACTACATTTTGTATATAACTAGTCATTTGATATTTTCAATCCAGGCCATTCGGATTAATCCTCGCAGTTTTAGCCTGTCTTCGCAAAGTCATAATGATCTCGAGCGTTTGCGCAACGTTATCACCAGTCCGGACTGCCCAAAACCTATACATCTGATCCCCCCAATTTTCAACAAACGTGCGAACATTCTGAGTGGCACTATCTAATAAGTCAGGAACCCATTCATCCCATCTGGCTTGCGACTGCGGGTTTGGATGTCCAGCATTCACCCAGTACGTATCTGCTCGACCGAATTCCACGTGAATTGTGTTAAAAGTGTCGATCATGTCAGGCTGGACTCTGAGATGGTTGAGATAGGAAATAATAGTGAGGGGCTCGCGGAGATGTATCAATGCGCGCTTCGGGTCATCGGCTGAGATTGCTTTCTCCATTTTTTCATCAGCGATGAGTGTTTTTGAAAGCCAGAGCTAGAGAAAAGAAATGATAAGTAACTTGGTCATCTCCAGAAAAAAGAAAAATTGTAAATGATCAAATACCCTGGATTTTAAGTTGTTCAAACGATTAAGCAAAAGGTTGAAATCAGCTTGGTTGTTCAGGCTACCCAAAGCATGCATAATCCGGGTCATGGGAGTCAAGGATTGGTCGGCACCAGTCATTACTGGTGGGTTGGTAAGAACTGGCGCCATCAGAGCCTGTCTAACGAAGGTCACTGAAATTCGACCGAGTCTCATCACACCACCAGACCTGAGGACCCCATTGGCTGCATCTCTCAGGAAAAAGGCAACGGTGTTCAACTCAACGACATGTTCGACTTGATTAATTAGTAAATTGAGTAAACTTTCAGGGTAAACAAGGTCACCAAGAACGTACCCTGATATCTTCCGATATTCGCCATCGAAACTGACATCAAAGCGATTTGAGTATTGAGGCAGTCCTCAGCGTCATCGTAGGTATAACCTTCATCCAAGATGGGATTATTTCCTCGAATGTTGCCACGCACGATATACTGATCGTCTGATTAGCACTAAAAATACGTTGATTGGGACTTGAAGATTAATACCGTCCAAGAAGTGATCGTAGCATGCGCTCCACCGTCTGATAAATCGACATCGAACGTTCGCGAGGCTCTCTTATCTAAAACTCTTTTGCTAAGAGCAGTAGAATCATCATCATCACCGTCAAGATCCGAACAGGAATCCGGATCGTTTGCATCGCAGCAATCGCTTGTTTCGCATGCGCAGGAGACAATGCTTCTTTCTGCAAACTTGCTGTCGAAGATGCTTGGGGCGCAAAGAACCTTCTCTAGTTTATAACTTATACCTCCTTCAGCCCAGTCCTCAGACGTAGTCAGGTAATTGCGAATAGCCTTGACTGTAAGATGTGGGTATGATGGCAGCACACGTTTTTTCCAGATCTCTTCGTAGGCTGCATTAACTGTAAACTGCACAGCAAGGGCGTATGCAACAGTATAGATAGCATCTAGCTGTTTGGTTGTTGAGCGGCGTTGAAGTGTTGTTGGAGTTCGAGTACCAGACAGATCGGACAAAGAGGTATTTCCCACAGAATATTCAAAGCCCGCGAGATCCCTCTTCAAGTTGTAATCGTCCGCTCCACAACTCGGATCATCCATGAACCCTTTAACCAAGTCATCAAGACTCTGTTCCCGCGTGGTGTATGATCTCTTGCTGACTGTTGAATATTTTGGCAAGCAGCATTTGGCTCGGCCACCGTCGCCTTTGCAACCACCACCGTGTTGATCAATAGCGACACGCACGTATTCATCCGGACAGCCGGGGAGACAGTAACCGTCAACATAGCTTTTGTCGAGCATCAGGCCAATGTCATCACGCCATTCGCATTTACTCCATTCAACATCGTCTTCCTCACTACAGCAGTAGCTGCGTTCCTCCCAACTTGTGCCCTCTTGGCCGTTCATTGTGTATTTGAAAGAAGTAACGTCGCAGTATACACCACCACTGCCGGTAGTTGACAGAGCCACCTCGGACTTGCCACTAGGGCATTCCTCGTCGCATTTCCGTGGTTTTCCCGCCCAGTCACACTTGGAGTAAAGTTTCATACTGGGAGTTTCAGTTGTACAACAAGCAGCTTGGTAGTCGTTAAAGTCGTTAGAACAGTATTGTATGTTGGATCCAATCTCAGTGTAGCCAGAAGGACACTCCGAATTGCATTTGCCATTGTTATGGGTATACCATCCACATTTGGGAAGTTCGGCATCAGGAGGGCAGCAGAACGTATGCTGTCCAAAACTACATGCGGTAGAATCCCACATGTGCTCGCCTTCACGGGCACCGTCATCTGTACGGCGAACCCGCGACCATCCACTAGGGCAATCGTCGAAGCAATTCGTCCACTTGCACTGCGGATGGGTCTTTTTGACCTCCATTGACGCTAATTCACCGCTGTTGACAAGGGACTTCACTTCTCGGCCCACGGCATCTCCAAGGGCTCGGGAAAAGTTACCTTGGGGTAAATCATGGGAAACCGCCCACACCATCACACCACCAAGGCATTGGCTTCGGGCAAAGTCGGCTTTCAGCTTAAACGTGTCTGAATTTTCGTAGGTAAGCCACTGGTTGTCGTCAAATTTGAGAATCTTCACGGCAGCCTCCTTATCCAGCGTGGACTGTAGGGACTGCTTATCCATGATGTCCATAATTTCAGAATTCAGTAAGATGCCAACTTCTTGACTGCATTTCCCAGCGTTTCCACCGGAAACAAACAAACAACCAGGCTCCATGCAGCTCGGGTCAGCAGCAGTGAATACTCGAGCGTAGAATGCAAGACCCAGGACGACCTTATCAGACTTGATGTCGTTTCGCCAGAGCAAATCGAGAGCATTGGTAATCTCTGTTAGGTTGGTATGAGAGTCGAGCACAGGGGAAACCCATTCACTGCCCAAGTCCCATTTTCCATGCATATCATAGGTCATGATGTTGAAGAAGTCGACGTGTTTTTGTAGGTTTGCGATATCAAAATGTTGAAGATACCAATAAGAAGCGGGCAGTGTAATGCTGACTCCATCGCGGCCACCAGTAGACTTGAGGGATTTCTTCAAATTGGCCAAGAACTTGGGGAAGTTGTCGAAATCTTTCTTTTGACCGCCACGGTCATCCGCCACGGGATACTCCCAGTCAAGATCAATCCCATCAAAGTCGTATGTGGACATGAAACTCTGGAGGGACTTGAAGAACTTCTTCTGATTGCTTTCCGACGCAGCGAGATCCGAGAACAGAGTTTGGGTGGCTCCAGGATCATTGAAAGTCCAGCCACCAACGGCAATGAAGACTTTGAGATCGGGATCGACCTTCTTGAGATCTGTCAAGCGCGTCATCAGCTTTTTCTCGCTCTCGGTGGCCGCGACGATCTCGAATGTATCTGGATCGATCGACGCGAAAGCATAATTCAAGTGTGTGTAGATGCCCACGGGGATTTGTTCGGGGTAGAACGTATTACAGCGACGTGAAGGACTCCAACCCTCGTAGTACCCTACGACTCGATTGAGAGATCCATCTTTGTCACAGGAAGGGCGCTTGACTTTTGTCTTGCCACAAAATTCCTCGGTAGTGCCGCAGAAGCCGAACTTCGAGCAGCAGACATTCAATGGACATTTGGAAGATTCCGCATAGTCACCATATTTGCCGGGATCGCACTCTGCCTTGCTGTC